GGAAGTGTTTATTCGGTAGGGGATCCCGACCGAATCCGACACGAGCCGGCCGATTGGAAACCAGGCCGGCAAGTCTTCTAGAAGATTTTTTACCACCCGCCAAAAAAAAAAAAAAGTAGGACGGAAATATGTTGTCTGGTCGGTAGGACAGAAAGATCTCTCGTGAAACGGCTGGCTGGTCGGAGGTTAGAAAAAGTCTAGTCTGGTCAGTAGGTCGGAAAGATGTTGTCTGATCTGTAGGACAGAAAGATCTGCTAAAATTGACCTGTACCTGGACTTTTATACCCTTTTCAACCTTGGCTAGTGGAAGGAGCATTTTTGGTCGCGATCGTTCTCGAAAATACGTTTTTACATGGTAGTCTGAGCTCTTTTGGTGCTTTGTAAAAACGGTGCAATTGTAAAATGCTATTTGATAAGTAAATAATAATGATAAGTAAATAATGAATTTCCTGTTCATCCAACCGCTTGTGATGTGGAAGTCCAACTCTCGTACCACTTCTTTGGTGGTCCCACTGACTTGAATTTGATTTTTCATTCTTCACCCACTTTCCCCATTGATCATTATTCATTCTCTTCACGTGATTCCTAGAGTTTCACCGACTTGGACGTACAAATCCAACGATATCTTGATCTTTCAGTTCTTCCCGTATGGCCGTGCTTCTTATTTGGTCGCGTATTGGTGTTCCTTTTATTGCCCGTAGGATTTTCATCTCCGTATACGTAGGATTAGACTTTTTGTTCTGGAGGTTTCAGCTTGGGTTTCTTCTGCGTATATGTATATTGGACTCTCCGCGGTTGTGTAGATACGGACTTCGCTTTCTGAAGTTATATATTTATATCCGTAGTCCGTAGTTCTTGGTATAAGTTTTTGCAGCGGAATATTTATACTCCAAAGTAGGCAGGTACATGATATACATCGCATAGCTGCAAAAGCGAGCATTAGGTGTGTCAAGTTGTACACACCTCTTGGCCACCGAAGAAAAACCAGATAACTAAAAGCTCACCTGCACAAAGAAGAGACAGGCGGTACTAATACAAGAGTCTCATGGCTACAGACACCAAATCAGAGGTCTCAACCTGGCAGGCTACAACACTGTAGTCGGATCGCAAACCAACCACAGGCTCCGAAACCACAAGGTGTCGTAAGAATCTAGGCATGACCCGTGTAACACAGTCACAAATCAGGGATGTCTGTGCAGTCCTAATGAAACATGAGGAAAAAGGAAATAACCGCATGTTTCTAATAAGTAGTGTTTATCTCCCAAATGACGTTGCGTAATTTTCCCCAACGGAAGACATTATTAAGGTAATAAATACACTTTGCAAAAATGTCGGGTTTCCAATCGATTATCGGTTGTAATGCCAACGCGCATAGACTCATCAAGTGAAGCTCCAATACAAACGCGAGGGGTGCTGCACTCTACAACGACCAATCATTGTCAAATTAAAGAGGGTACAGTACCCTATTTGTAGATCATTCCCGACATTTCGCCCGGTTTTCAATGTAATAAAAAGCCTTAGGGTGATTTTACTACCGATTATATACGAATCTTCTAAAGCCCTACTAATTTTTAAACGATTTTCAAATAAATCGAAATCAGGCATAATGCAGTTTGCGATATCATAGTTTTTTTGAAGTTTTAACATTGTTTTTATAAGCTTTATCACATAAAGCAAATCAAAGTTCTGACTGATTGTTTTAAAATATTATAATCAGTTCCGTAAAATACATATGGGATGTTGGGAGAAAATTTCTCCCTTCTGATTTTTATTTGCTTATCACAGTCATTAGAAAACGTCGCTTTTTGCACCAAAATATTATATGTATATACAGGGTGTGAGGCGACGATGGGTTCTTTCATATAGGGAGAGGTACTCGCAATTCGAGCTTGAACATTTGTTAATCGGAGATTTTCGATTCGATCTATTTTCCCAAAATAAATACTGTTTACGATCACTTCCACCGCTCAACTTTGTTATTTTAGTTGCAATGCCTGTTTTTTTATTTAATTTTTGAATTCTACGTTAAATTCCAAACATATAATTATCATATAATATTCCCCATACCTAATGCTTGCAGTTTATGAGATAAAAACAATTTAATTTAGACAAATTGCCGCTTCAGACTAGGCAAAAAAAACAGGAAAAATTTCACCAACCAATCGGAGGTGACCGAAAAACCTATTTTATAAAAAATGTTCATATCAACAAACGTCATTTGTAAATTTTTAATTGCCGGTGCTTCTTCCGCATTCGTTTGAAAGTCCATCGTTGTGACACAGCATGTATACGTATACAGTAGAAGTGTGATAAACGGTTATTTTTCTGTACAACGTTACGTTCCAGTTTCACCATGGTAATAGGTTACAACAAGCGGTTCCAAAAGAAACATGTTATATTTTAATTTTTTCATTAAAAATGCACAATGATAATGAAAGTAGAAATGAAAAATAAAAAGAAGGAAAAATAAATTATACGTTTAATATGCGAAAATGTTTAAAAATCTAATTTTTATTTAAAAATGAACTACTATTTAAGAATAAATTTTTTTGCAGATGCTTTTTACTGAGTTTAGTTCTTCGCTCATTTATGATAGCACCCGCTTTAGAAAATAATCTCTTGTATTTCGTTTTACAATAACATTAAATAATCCACAATAACAACAAACAGAAATGCGTGTTTGGCAAACCTGGGCAAAGTATTACTCGAATTAATTTTGGTACCACCAAAAAACAAGTTTAAAGAAATATGTCGACCTTACAACGTTTATTGCTATTCAAATAACTTTCATTTCATCTCCGACTGAATTCATATTTAAAAAGGACCAGCGTTCTTAAATGCTGGTGCACATTCTGCTTAAAACGTTTGTTATTTTACATTTCAACTGTGATGGAATTTACGTCTTAGACTCTTAGTTTGCCATTGTTTAACTTAGCTATATAACTCCCGAGCTAAGATTCTTGAAAGAAATCCCTTTTTTTAAGATTTATTACAGAATGTCAGAAAACTAAATACTTATAGACTAAAAATGCAGAATTATATCATCGCAGCAACTAAACAAATTTTCGCTAGTTTCTGGAGAACTGAACAGTAATTGTTATAAACCAAAAGTGATACACAATCATCAAGGCAACGCGCAACTACATACAACATATTTTCCGTTGACAAATGGCTACTGAAACTGCTGCAACTGGATAGAGCGCTTGACGATGCCGCTGTTACGGTTTTATGAGACGGTTCCAAAAACAACCGTTTAAATCGGCAAACTGCTGCAGCTGGTGCGAAGTGCGCACAACTGTTTCGGTTGCAGCTGGAACAAGCGGATGCAGCTGGATAGATCGCTTGACGGTGTCGCATCGGTTCTGTTCTAGTCCGCACCACTTTTTTTTCGGTTTTATGAGACGGTTTCAAAAACAACCGGTTGAATCGGGTAGCTGTAACTACGGTTTCAGGTTACACGTTTGGAACACTGTTATTTTAGCGGTTACGTTAAATACCGACCATCCCTATAACCTACCAACATATCGCATAAACATAAACTGGATCCCAATCCCAATTATTACTGTGAAATAATAATGATATTATAAATGATAACTAAATTCTGTCGTTTAATGGGCTTTACGTTGATAAAAATGTTTTGCCAAAACATGTAATTTTAATACGTATGGCAAATTCCAGACAGTTATTGTTGTTATAGTATAATATGGATTAATAACTGGCCTACCGCCCAGAGACTACCCCGATAAAAGAAGCTTGTGGCAACACTGCGACCAGCGTTGCCAGAGTCAGTACATTCGTACTTTTTTCAATACGCCTGACCCTCCAAATCCTCCATAATTTCTTAGTACCATAACACTAGCATAGAACACTTGAAAATAATTGTTTTCTCTTTCCCTTTGTATTATTTGTCAGCTCTATTATTGTTGGCTGCCTACTGTTTTGGTGTAATGTGGTGGCTACATCTACTGCTGTTATACCTGTTTTATGCCGTTTACCGACCGCCGATGTAGTGGGCAGACGCATGAAACAGTAGCACCCTTTTCCGGAAAGCGTAAAAAACCGCGCGAAATCAATAGCACACATCACTGAACAAAACATGAAGAATTAGGTATATGATACCTAAATAAATGTTTTTTGAAGTAAATGAATTTGTTTTATTGTAGTTCTACATACATTTACTAAATTTACTAAATATTTTATAATACAGGATGATTATTCAAATTTCATATCTAGCAAGCTGTGAACATGTACATATGTTCTATGTTTGTATGTTCCTATCTTCTATCTCTTTTATGTGACATTTCATAGCTGCCTAGATATGAAATTTAAATAATCACCCATGTGTATACGTACGTAAGTATAATACAATATATTGCTTTAATTTAATAATATTTTGTAATGCTTTACAGTAGGATCTGCTGTAGCACGCGTACATGCTTGTACGCGGGGCCGTGCAGCCAAACATTGCATAATGGTCAGGCATGTTGCCGAACTGCCACCAAAGTAGAAAATTTCAATGAAAACAAAAAAGTAATTCATTCAAGGTTGAAAACTTAGCAAAATTACGTCCATACAGGAAATGGTAGACGAAACTGATAAGTTCATACATATGATTGTGCGCGTAATTTAGCCGGGACCCAGCTGATTTCAGCCAGCGGTTTGAAATATCAAATTAATTGTGTATGCATGCAAAGAAAATAAAATAAAGTATTTTCAGCTTTGGTTTCTCTATGGATGTCTATGAATGCGTGTGAGTTCTTAATCGGTTAATTGGAATTATGATGAGAATCGGAAAAGTAGTGAAACTATATCATCTGGGTGATACTAATTACTATCTATTTTATATTAAATAGTTAAGTATATTAAATGATTTGTGTACATAAAAAGGAAGGAAGTGGTAATGTTAAGAAAGTGCTAATATAGAACTGGCAACTACGCGAAAAATTTCGACTGACACACCGACGCAAAGAGCTGAACCATCATGGCTACCGTTTGTTTTGGAAATTGGCGAATTTCAGAGGGTGAAGTCCTGGAAAACGGCATTAGGTCGAAAAATGTATAGGAAAAATGTTGTTTTTTACGAGATTTTCTATAAGGTGAGAATAGTCCTAATTGGCAAAACAGCAATCCTAGCACCAGATCGTATTGTATAGGATTACCCAGTACGCTTTCGAGACATATTCAGTACCCACGATGATAATTCTGGCAACACTGACTGCGACATTGTTCGTCTTTCACGAACGACGGAATGTAAACATGTTTGCTATCACAATTTAATAAATATAACTTGTTGAATAGATAAACCACATTTTGTAATTCGATAACGATACAGTCCGTGATTTATTTAGGCATAACATTGTATTGTATAATATGGGAGACAACATGCAGTTTATTGGGAAAGTAGTACTTATCACTGGGGCCAGTTCAGGAATAGGGGCTGCTACGGCTCAGCATTTTGCTAAGTTAGGAGCCAGCTTAGCTTTGACTGGTATGTTATTTTTCATTATGTTGAGACTAAGCTTAAGCCTTGAGCCTACTTAAGCCTTGAAGCTCGGAAATGCGTCCATTGAACGATCCTACGCACTGATATTTTACTTAATTATGATAATAGATACGAGCTGGCTTAAATTAAATCATGATTGTGTAGGTATTCACAAAAAGACTAATAAGATGATATCAATCGAGTTTAGTCGTGAGTTTTCTTTTCGTTGATGAGTTTTGTGTATCGCTGCTAAATTTGGATATGATTTTTTTCGTTAACGCTTTATTTTGTCTTTTAGGGTCATCTAGATATGTTGTTGATTTTTTTTTTTCTCTCCCCTTATAAGTTTATTTGGAACGTGGCCCTTACCATGGGCGTCATTTCAGGATTTAAACTGGGGTGGCAAAACCTACTCAGCTGAAAAGGGGTCCTCCTCCATAAAAATGTTTAAGCTTGATTTTAAGTTTGTTTTTCCAGGCTATTTTTGCAGCAATTTAATTTATAACAATTTTAACCAAAACAGTAATTTTTAATCGCTTGAGTTATTAACTCAAGATATGGAGTTAATTATAATTATACATATTAAGTAAACATTATGAAAAGAAATCGTATACTCAATTGTGATCATACATATGAAAAGTTATTTTTACATAAATTGAAGTCTTCTTTTTGGACTTGAATTAAATGCGTCAATAATTTTGAAAATGTTTATTACAACACTCGTTTCAATAGCCAAAAGGGCTAACGAGGACAATCTTACTTCTAGTGTATGTTTTTAACCATCGCAAGCACGAAAATAACCTCTCACGGGATGCAGACTTCATTGGAATCGTAAAAAACACACAAAAAACTTTTCACACTTCAAATATATTTATACAAAAACGTCAGCTCTTTCTTGAATAGTTTTGTTTCTTGAGTCTTCCATTTTGCAGAAACATCTCAGTTCAGACACAACCAGCCGTCTAAATTGTAATATTTGCACACGTACTGTACACTGCTATGTCTATCATCCACCTATAATTTTGCTAAAGTGGTTAAGTATATCTAGGTAATTTTCTTCAAGTCTGGGCTCTCTTTGGATTTTATCGTTCAGGATATCAATAACTGGTCAAAGGATTGAAACTTTGTGGTACTGCTCTACCGATTCAAATGGAGCTCCGCTCCCTCCCCCAATTTTTGACAGAAGTTTGCCTTTCCTTGGCAGCTCGGCGGCTTTAAATCCGCACCTTTTAGCGCTTTCTGTGCAGTGATTGAAGAACTTTGTAAAAAAGTCATCTGTTCGAAACGATTGCTATACTTCAAGTGTTCTGTTTGTTACAGATTTAACAGCTTCGTAAGTCACACTGCTTGACTGAAGGGTTTTTCACAATATTTAACATTGTGCTAGAACTCGTCTGAGTAATAGCAGGTCAAATACAAAGTTGAACTTCTCCATATTTTTCAACAGAGCATCGGCTTGTCTACCACCGTCAGGGTCTGTCTCAGAAATCTCTTGTAGAGTCTCAAGAGGGGTATCAAAATTATTATGTATTTGCTAGTTGCCCTTGAATTTAACTCTCGGACTTGATTCAATTTTTCATTCACAAATTCTCGTACAAGATTTAATGATAATACAATGAATTAAATGTTCGATGAGAACGATTGATTGACAGTGATCTGATACTGCTGGTGGCTCTGTGTGGCGTTTCCGCCTGTATTGTGCGGACGCAACACTATCCTCCCAGTTATCTAGCGGTTGGGGCGCTGAGGAGCTTTTTTTTCTCAGGTGTAAGCTGTTGTGGAATCTCTTGGATATCTTCGACTTCTGGAACCTCTTCTTCTTGCAAGTCCTTTTTTACAGCGGTCGGACGTTGGGCAGTTGGAATTTCTCCAGCAAAATGTCTCCTTTGCGTACGTCCCTGAATAAGGACATGATAATCTAAGTTCCCCTTCGGTTCCACGATAGTGCCGAAATTCCAATTTGTAGCTGGATTAGCGTAATTTCGAGCTTGCCCCTTCCGGCCGGCCTCAAAGGTTACCTCCTATGAGTTGTTACTTAACTGTTTCTCGCTGATGTTCGAAGTGATGTTACGTCTAACCAAATCGAGCCTCGTTCGAATATTTATGTTAAACATTAATTTAGAAGCGGTCACAGAAGTAGTTGAATTAGATTGTCGTCGAGCTTCATGTGTAAGTATGCGTTGGATATCCTCAGCACAGAAGTAGATGCATCCATTCATTTTTTTGAAAATATCGTCGATTTTCGAATAGGTTAAGAATCATCTTGAATGTATTTGTTGATGGTGATGTTATAAGCGGCACACAATCTGATTCTGCGGTCCTTCCGCATGATCGGAACTACTGGTGTGGCCCATGCCGAATGCACTACTTTTTCTATAACACCCAGGTTTTCCAAACGACTTGATCGTGCTTCCTCTGCCACTTTAGCTAGCAATGCCTAAGGTACTGTGCACGTTTTGACCATTTGGCCCACCTACTACCATACTTGTCTTTGTTTATGATTTGCATTCACTTTCAATTTCGTTCGTTACTGTTCTTGACCTATCTTCTCAAACACTTTCAATGGAGCATGTTCAGAAGAGGAAAAAAAACAACCCGCAAACAATTTGAAAATTTAGTAGAGTTTGTGGAGGAAAATAAAGTTAATTTTCAAGACCATTTACTAATTGTTCTAATAAAGCTAACCTTATAAGACCACCAAAAGACATATTTTTCTTTTAAATTAAAAACAAATTATAGCTAAAACACAAAGCTACGCTCTGATTATTTTGTTTAGTACTCCGAGCTTAACTTCGAGGGACGCACGTTAAGTTCGATAGCGGCATGTGAATTTATACTGTTATTTTGAAGTGCTATTTCTTAATATAACGTTCGTCAATAGCGTGCGCCTGTTATATTATAACGGTTTTCCTGATACAACACACCAGTTAGAGCCACATAACGTGTTTGACGGATAACCTGCCCGTTATTAGTTATAAAGTTAACGTGAGTGATACAGCACAGGGCCGATTATGTTTTCAGCGCGTTTCCTATTTTGACCTTGAAAAAAACTAGCTATAATATGATGTTTTTCAGGTCGCAATAAAGATAATCTCCAAAAAGTGGCAACCGAATGTTCAAAAATTGGAGCGAAAAAGGAACCTCTTCTTTTAATTGCAGAACTAACAAACGAAGATCAGACAAAAGCGATTGTTGATGATACAGTCATCCACTTTGGAAAACTAGATGTTTTAGTAAATAATGCAGGTAACATATTTTAAGTCTATTTTTGAATAGCATATGAAGACGTTTTATTACTGATCATAATTAATTGACAAAAGCAGATTAAGCTAACAGCTAAAAGTTAAGTCAAAGTAAAGTAGACTGGAGGTCGCTAGTCAGAGAGGTGTTAAGGATGTCATCTAGCAAATAAATCTTGAATAAGAAACATGATCAGGGATTTCCAAGAACCAAGATTTCAATACTCGGTATAGCAAAATTTTATGCATAAGGGAGAAGAACTTTCACACTCAAAGTAACAATGAGAAAAGCGAAAACTTGTTGCGAATGCTTCTACGAAGATGGTCTATTTCCCGATTCTGCAACGGCAGTGAAAATATTTAGAAGTGGCGGTTTTTGGAAAGATGTTAGTTCATAAAGTAAGTTCTTCACGTATCTTGAATGAGCAGTTCCATATCCGTCTCGACCCAGAAGATTAAATTGTCATACCATATAGGAACTTGCTTGAATTTTTCGTTGTTGTACCATATACCAACCCACCATTTCTGAAAAATGAAAAATTACAGGGCAATGGAAATCCGACTGGATTATTTAATATTTTTCGCTGCAGAAGCTGCGAAGTTCTGCTTTGCGATATTGGGGCTCTTCCACACTTCCAACTTTTTGGAGGTAGTCCGGAAATCATTTATAGGCTGATTTTCCACTTCGATCGATTTTCGTTATTCTGCTAGCTGCTATCCAGGACACATGTTCACTCTAATCTTTTTTTTATCGTAGCCTTTTCATTAGACCTTCTGTATGAAATTCTTCTCTGATCATGATCTTAAACTATGTAGTTTCTTTCTATACTTCAATGCGTGTTATTGCTCGTAGCTCTCTGATCTGACTTGGTTTCAGTCGGGTCAACAGGCCTACATGAATTGTATATCCTCACTTTACTGGTAGTTATCATTTTCGCATTTTCCGAACACCCTGTATATTGGTATGCTGTTTTTGTTTTCTCCTCGGTAATTCAATAATTTATTGGACATATTGTCAGGTTCTGGCGCATTCTTGAGATGTTTTATTTCGCTTATTACCTCTTTCACTGGAACTCGTACTTCTCTCTCGAAGGCTTGTGTTTTCCCGTCTCAGTCTATGTCACTTTTTCGATCACTAGAAGTTGCTTTGTGAACGCAGGTCCATGAAGTAACGTTTGCGGCTGTCTTCGTAGATGTTGTTTATTTGTACTGTTTTGTTTGGTACATTTTTCGCAACTCTAAACACTTTCCTGACGCGCTTTTATGTTTTATATAGCACCCTTTACATTTATTTGTTGAAGTTATTCCAATGATCTTTTTTTCTTGCCCGCATTCTGTTATTTATACAAGGTGATTAAAAATTGGCGTCATTCCTTTTAAGGGGTGATAGAGGCTCCCTTGGGGAGTACGAGAAAAATATTGAAAATTTTTTAAATATATTAACAGTTGAAGATCGAATTTCAACTTTGTTAATAAGCATTATTTTGAAATTGTTCCATGCTTAATTGGTAGCATATTGGAATACTTAAGCATTCAAAAAGAAAAATTACGATCTTTGTTTCAAATTACGAAAATTTTTGATATCAAAAAAGTTCTCTTCTACAATTTTTTGATGAAAAGGCATAGCGGCAATGATGTTTTTTTGTCATTAACAGACAATTACAGGTGGATAGCCCTTGTCAATAATAACAATAATTTGTCAAACTGTGACTTACTTTGAATTTCCTTTCGCGAATTTGCTGATATGCGATTAGTTCAGGGGAAATGCTACAGTAACATAGCAGAAGCTGAATAGCTGAGTGGATAATAAGGAGATTACACAGGCACTAGCTTGTTTGGAGTTAACCATTAAAATGTTTGGTGTTGTATGGTTTATTTTTAAACACCAATATTCGAGGTTATGAGAACAGGACAGTCATTTCGGAAGTACGTTGCCCAATCAACAAATCTTGTTGAATTTACCGTTTATCCTTGTCTATCTTATTGTCAGTCTGTATAATTCCATGGTTACCGGAGTTTCAAATAATTACAAAGCAACAGGTATTTGCGCAATGTTAATTAGGCCTTGTAAAACATTGCTGCCGGATTTCTGATATAGTTTTTTGCAAATTTCTCAGTTTTTAATAACAATTAATTTCTTTTACTATTTTTTCTGTACTCCTATAACAGCGCCAGACAACACCACCAGAGGAATGACGCCAATTTTAAATCACCCTGTACTATTTCTCATTTCCGTATACAGGGTAATTAAAATTTGCGTCATTTTTCTGGATGTGTTGTCTGGGGGTGTTTTGAGAGTACAGAAAAAATAGTTAAGAAAATTAATTGTTATCAAAAACTGAGATATTTACAAAAAACTATATCGGAAGGATGGCAACAATGTTTTTCAAGGTAATCTGGCGAATTAATATTATGTAAAACCTGTTGCTTCGTAATTATTAAAAATTCCGGTAACCATCGAAAAATACAGTGACAATAAGTATAAAAGGTGAATTCAACAGGATTTGTTCAATGTGGAACGTACTTTGTCGAAATGTCAACATTGTTATCTTAACCTCGAATTGATGTGTACACTACACAATAAATACACATTTCAGTCTTCAACTGCAAACAAGTTAGTGTCTGTGTAATCACCTTCTATGATCACCTTATTATGCACTCTTCTGGAGCAGTGTCTCGTATTAGATTAATTAACTCCTGTGCATTTTGTACCGGTGTTTAGTAAGCCATTGGTTTAATGTGTCCTTGTGCCGTGCGCATCTTACATACGTGGTAGGAACGTAAGCCGTCTTTGGTATTTATTTGGTGCCTGAGAAAGTGTCAGTTGTTGTGCAATGCTCTGAGGCCCCCTGGAAAGATTTGCTGCAATTATCTCCAATTCTTGTACCTGTGTGTCTGGAACTCGAACATCTATTGTCGTCCACTATCTTCCTGGAACCACTCTCCTCGCCCTTTGTTGGCGTGAGTTCTTACAGCTTCTGCTATGTTACTGTGCCAGTTTTCCAGAGCTAATCGCAAATCCGCAAATTCGTGAAAATAAATTGAAAGTAAGTCATAGTTTGACAACTTATTGTTATTATTGACAAGGGCTATCCACCAGTAACTATCTGTTGATGACAAAAAAACATGGTAATGCTTTACGGTACGATCTGCTGTGGCACGCGCACATGCCTGCACGCAGGGTACGCGCAGCCAAACATTGCATACTGGTCAGCCATGTTGTCGAACTGCCACCAAAGTAGAAAATTTCAATGAAAACAAAAAAGTAATTTATTCAAGGTTGAAAACTTAGCAGAATTACGTCCATACAGGAAATAGTAGACGAAACTGATAAGCTCATACATATGATTGTGCGCGTAATTTAGCCGGGACCCAGCTGATTGCAGCCAGCCGTTTGAAATATCAAATTAATTGTGTATGCATGCAAAGAAAATAAAATAAAGTATTTTCAGCTTTAGTTTCTCTATGGATTTCTATGAACGCGTGTGAGTTCTTAATCAGTTAATTGGAATTATCATGAGAATCGGAAAAGTAGTGAAAACTCTGGGTATTACTAATTACTATTTATTTTATATTAAAAA